CTCCTATTTCGTTATTTTGACGAGCGCCTGATTCCACCACGTCTTGACACTAATGTACTTAGCCTAATGCGCAGATCCGGGGGTCACCAGAGGGGGCACGTGGGTTTGCTGGTATATTATGTATGTTGTAGAGGAACAAGAAGTTTTAATGGCAGGTTATGGTTGTGGTGATTTTCAATTTTGCAATGATTTGTTGGTTTCTTTTTTGGTTTGCGTGGTTAACTGTTGTTTTTCCGAGAGAGAGAGAGAGAGAGAGAGAGAGAGAGAGAGAGAGAGAGAGAGAGAGAGAGAGAGAGAGAGAGAGGGGAAGATGAGAAATGAGGGCGGGAGGGTGATAATTGGGGTTTTTTTTAAAGCACAAGGGGGCTATCCCGAAAAATGCTGTTTCGAGAAAATCGAAGTTAAAGTTTTTGCCACTGGTTCAGTTTCTTTAAAAGACAAGGACAGTTTTATCTAGAACCAAACAAATGAACACGCCAATGAAGCCAAACGTCCCCTAGATCTATAGGTGGAGCAATGCCCATTTTTGGTGTAGGTCAAGATTGCTGGAAACCCCCGAAATCCGGGCTAGCCCGCTTGTCCTTACTTAAAAGCGACCAATTGTGTTAAAGTAAGGAATCCCCAATCCAAGATTTCTTCGACAAACAACAGACTATGCAGGGGGAACCCGTGAAAAGGAAGAGAAGCGAGAGTTCACGTCAAAGATCTAAAACAGGGACAGTTTCGTGCTGGGAAGCATGCCAGTTTGTCACAGGCCCATATTTTAATTTTTTAAATTAAAAAAAAAAATTATTATTTATTTTTATTTTTTTGTGTAAGTGTTTTACGGCGCTCACAGCTGCGTAAGGCCATACTATGAGCGCGCGGGACAAATTAAACATTTTTTAGTGGGTAGGAAATTTTGAATTTTGCCCGGGTGGCGGTCGAAGCCTACTCTTATCGATTTTAGACCACCAAGGGATCTTAAATGTGCGCAACTTGCACACGGGACTTCCGAGATTTTTCGCCCTTGTCCGAGAAGGCTAGATGTAGATCAGGCCCAGTTTGTCACTGGCCTCGGCTGTACCCAGTAGCTTTTTAAAATATTTTTTAACACCAGTTGCAGCTTCAGTTGTCCTTTTTTTCTCACCATGCTTTTAGGAGATAAATATCAGTTTTCTTGTTCTGAATAATATAATACCTGTTATTAGTATTAATATTATCATAAAATAATAAATCTACTGACTTGTTGTGGAGAAGAAGAATTTAGCACGTTTTGCATTTTGTAGAAGTAGATGACTTAAATTGTCATGTCAACACTTTTACTTTAACCAGTGGAATTATTCATTCACACAATTGATCTACAATTCTACAAATTATGTAACAACTTGGTCCTTGTTTATTCTTGTCATGTCAACATTTTTACTTCTACTTGTAGAATGTTCTTTTTTATAGTAGAGAGTTTTACGGCGCTTGCAACTGCATAAGGTAATATGAGCGCCAAGGGGTAGGTGTCAACAGAGAAGTCTTTATAGGGAATCAGACTTAGACTGCTCACCTCTCTAGCTTCAACAGCACAAAGTCTGCTTCGACTATCAAGGCACCCCGAAATAGCAGGTCACAAGAGAGTGACAAACATACAAAAGAAGTAGAGGAAAATGACAATAGTAAGGATCAGGAAAGAAAAAGCAGCAGTTCCCTGTTGTAGATCAGGCACAGTTAGGAGCGTGACATGAGTCAGCCCATTTACAATTCTACTGTGCTTGAAAGAGAAATGTCCCCCCTTTGGGAATGGATTATGCAACAACTTTGTTCTTGTTTATTCTTGTCATGTCAACATTTTTACTTCTACCAGTAGAACGTTCATTCACACATTGATGTACATTACAACAAATTACGTAACAACCTGGTTCATGTTTATTCTTGTCATGTCAACATTTTTACTTCTACCAGTAGATTGGTAGAACGTTCATTCACACATTGATGTACAATACTACAAATTATGTAACAACTTGGTTCTTGTTTATTCGAGCGATTTTCCCACTGCCATAGCAATTACATTTCTTATTGTTTTCAATTACATTTCTTATTGTTTTCAATTACATTTCTTATTGTTTTCAATTACATTTCTTATTGTTTTCAATTACATTTTTTATTGTTTTCAATTACATTTCTTCTTATTATTGTTTTCAATTACATTTCTTATTGTTTTTTGTTTTCAATTACATTTCTTATTGTTTTTGTTTTCAATTACATTTCTTATTATTATTGTTTTCAATTACATTTCGTATTATTATTGTTTTTAATCACATTTCTTATTGTTTTCAATTATTTATTTTTCAATTACATTTCTTCTTATTATTGTTTTCAATTACAATTCTTATTGTTTTCAATTACAATTCTTATTGTTTTCAATTACTTATTGTTCAATTACATTTCTTATTATTTTATCAGTTTTGTCTGTGTCTACGTACTGAGGACCGTCAGATTAAGACAAAATATAGTATCTGGGCCATCCTTCAACACTGTTGTATGTCAAATTTCGAGATCATGAGGAGAAAAAAAAAAGCCAACAAATGTTTTTATTCCCCTTTGGACAGTATCTAAAAAATCTGTCCCCGTCTTTTTATGCAAGTAAAATTCTGAAATTATGCAAACTGAGCCCAAAAATGTGAAATTATGCGATTCTGTTAATTTTAACAAAGAATGATAAAGGAAAATAATTAGAAGTTATGCAAAAAATTATCAAATTTTGCTAAATTATGCGGGGTGCATAAAACACAGGGGACAGAAAAATACACATTATCTAATTCGTCTAAATTCGTTACCCATGTTAAATAGGAGAAACACCAAGACCAATCGACACGTCTCATCATGCTGTACAACTTTTTACTATAATATAAACAAAATTATTATTGATTTCATTGCTTCGAAAATTGGCATACTATATTGTTGAATGAGGCGACATATATAATATATATATAATATATGGGTGACCTTATTTGGGCCACAGTGTGGCCTAAATAAGCTAAAC